GTATTCACGTTCACCACACATCGTATTCACGTTCACCACACATCGTATTCACGTTCACCACACATCGTATTCACGTTCATCACACATCGTATTCACGTTCATCACACATCGTATTCACGTTCACCACACATCGTATACATCACACATGTATTCTACACAGCATACACCACACAGCGGGTGTGGCAGGACTACACTTATCTCGCCACAATGTCGCCGCATTCCTTCATACATCCTGCCACTCCTACACCTACTCCTACATCCCTTCCTGCATCATCCCCCTTGCTACATCCCTCTCCTACATCCCTCCTGCATCCCTCCTTTTACTACATCCCTCCTTCCTTCCTGCATCCCCCCTCCTACATTCCTCCTACGTCATCCCCTCCTACATCCCTCTTGCATCCCTCCCTACATCCCCCATCCCCCCATCCCCTTCCTTGTCATCTACTCCCCCATTCCCCCACTTGTTTTCATGTATATTTTAATACTTTTTTAAAATTTTAATAGAAAAATTATTAAGAGAATTTTTTGTAAATAATTTAAAGAATTTTTAATTTATTAACAAATTAATTATTTTTTTAGACTGTGTGAAATTGTAATATTTCAACGTAACTGTACAGCAGCAGTTAACTGCCGTGACTGTAACAGCTGTATTTTCTTTGCAGGAACACACGCAGCAGATGCAGGAAGTGCAGCTGCAGCTGTCAGGTGAGTTACAGCTGCTATATATACACGTGTTCCCGTACAGCTGTACTTACAACTGTTGAACTGAGGGACTGAAGACTGTAGCAGTCTTTTCCAGCTGTAAATGCAGTTAACATGTAGCGTTACGGTAGCAGTTACAGTAGCAGTTACAGCTGTAGCATTACATCATAAGTTACAGATGTAGCATTACAGTTACAGTTAAAGCATTCCACTAGCAGTTACAGCTGTAGCATTACTCTAGCAGTTACAGCTGTAGCATTACACTAGCAGTTACAGCTGTAGCATTACAGTAGCAGTTACAGCTGTAGCATTACAGCTGTAGTGTGACTGCAGCTCTGGTCTGTCGCCCGCAGATGCCGCGGCGCAGCTGTTGGACGCCGACACCTGCGCGCCTCACGCACCTGTGAGTACACGCCTGCCACCGCTGCCACCTTCCCTGCCATCTCTGCCACCCTCCCTGCCACCTTCCCTGACACCCTCCCTGCCACCCCTGCCACCTTCCCTGCCACCGCTGCCACCCTTGCCACCTTCCCTGCCATCTCTGTCACTCTCATCACCCCTGCCACCTTTTCTGCAACCCCTGCCACCCTCCCTGTCGCCTCTGCCATCCTTCCTGTCACCCCTGCCATCCTTCCTGTCACCCCTGCCATCCTTCTTGTCACCCCTGCCATCCTTCTTGTCACCCCTGCCATCCTTCCTGTCACCCCTGCCATCCTTCCTGTCACCCCTGCCATCCTTCCTGTCACCCCTTCCATCCTTCTTGTCACCCCTTCCATCCTTCTTGTCACCCCTGCCATCCTTCTTGTCACCCCTTCCATCCTTCTTGTCACCCCTGCCATCCTTCTTGTCACCCCTGCCACCCTTTCATGTACTAATATAATTTATTAATATAATAACCTTAAGCTTTGGTCTAACTGGNCCATCCTTCTTGTCACCCCTTCCATCCTTCTTGTCACCCCTGCCATCCTTCTTGTCACCCCTTCCATCCTTCTTGTCACCCCTGCCATCCTTCTTGTCACCCCTGCCACCCTTTCATGTACTAATATAATTTATTAATATAATAACCTTAAGCTTTGGTCTAACTGGCAGGATAACTCTTACAGGTTAACATGTCCTTTACTCCCATTAACCTCAACGTTACGATACCATGCAAACCTGGGGCCATACTTTCAAAACTCGCTAAGTGAACGTAAGTACTTACGCTCTATTTTCTTGTCTATGATTGGTGGATTTTGCTTGAAAGCCCGTCAATGATTGGCTGATGAATTTACGATCTCTTAACTTTTTTTGAAAGTATGGGCCCTGGTCCCAACCGCTCGGAGGATTTAACGGCATTGAAAATTGCCAATTTTGTAGTTAATTGGAACTGTCACTTTCGGGACACAGGCAGTTTTGGCCGTAGTTTCTCGCCGCAGTGGCTGTAATAGCAAACGGTAATGACCGTCGCCGATTCGGCGCCGTGACGCCGACATGCTTCGACCGGCAGCGCAGCGCCTGCGCCGCTCACCGCCGCGCCTGCGCCGCTTACCGTCGCGCCTTGGCCGCCCATCGTCGCGCCTGGGCCGCCCATCGTCGCGCCTGGGCCGTTTACCATCGCGCCTTGGCCGCTCACCGCCGCGCATTGGCCGCTCACCGCCGCGCCTGCGCCGCTCACCGCTGCGCCTGGGCCGCTCACCGTTGCGCATTGGCCGCTCACCGCCGCGCCTGGGCCGCTCACCGCCGCNTGCGCCGCACACCGCCTTTGCAGTTGAGACATTTAGTGGCCGATTCAGCGGCAGCGCGCGGTTGTAATAAAGTCGCCAAAACGGTCTTCCCGGCCCCGCCGCGGCGCTGCTGCGGCGTTAACGCGACTGTAAATCAGCATGCGGCCGAAATTAATGCCGGTGCCAATTACCGCCGCGCCTGCGCCGCTCACCGTCGCGCCTGCGCCGCACACCGCCTTTGCAGTTGAGACATTTAGTGGCCGATTCAGCGGCAGCGCGCGGTTGTAATAAAGTCGCCAAAACGGTCTTCCCGGCCCCGCCGCGGCGCTGCTGCGGCGTTAACGCGACTGTAAATCAGCATGCGGCCGAAATTAATGCCGGTGCCAATTTTAAATTAATTTATCATGGACGCTACTGGGGTGGCTGAAATTTTCAGGTTGAACTTTCGTTCAAAACTTTCCTCAGTTCTTTATCAAATTTTGAAATTTAATGATAAATGAAATCTGAAGAACTATAACGCAGAATTTGAAATTCGTCCAATTCTGCGCCCATCTGCTCATAAATAATACTATATTAGACCCATACAATAGTGAGAATAGTCTTTTTGAACTGCTTTTCCGACAGTGAATTTTTGACTCGGCATACCTGACACAAGCATTAAAAATTTGATTTTTTTTATTAAATCTACTGGTATTACTTGAATTTTGGAGTGGCGAAGGCGCTGGTGTCCGAAATGTTTTCGATTAAGATTGCCGTTTACATTGTTTACTTGTCATTTTCTTTCTTTTTTTTAGTTGTATGGGACTGTGTATAGCTGTGATGTGTATTTGTATAGTTGTCTAGGAATGTAAGTTGTATGGTTGTAAAAGACTGTAATTTGTGCACATTTTCTACATTTGTTTGCTGGGGCTGTTTCATATGAAATTTATACTTCCTAATAGATATTAGCGCATTTAGTGGCATCAGTTAGACGTCCGATGTAGACTTGACTGAACTGCAACAACAGTAAGAACAAATAACAACAATTAATAGCAACAACAACAGTAACAAAAAACCGGGCAGGGTATCAAGCAGCAAATAAATAACATAGCAATAAATGCCATATAACAACATAACATAGCCAGTAACGCTGCCACCGCGTCACCGCAGCGAATAACATCGGCAGCATTGTGTGTAGAGTGGCTGTGAGGCGGCATGTAATGCGTGCTGTACGTGTACGTGTACGTGTACGGCTGTACGTGTACGGCTGTACGTGTACGGCTGTACGTGTAGAGTGGCTGTGAGGCGGCATGTAATGTGCTGCTGTACGTGTACGGCTGTACGTGTACGGCTGTACGTGCATGGCTGTACGTGCATGGCTGTACGTGCATGGCTGTACGTGCATGGCTGTACGTGCATGGCTGTACGTGCACAGCTGCACGTGTACGGCGATCGTAACTTCGATCAATGTATAACTTAACGACCATAACTTCGATCAATGTATAACTTAACGACCATAACTTCGATCAATGTATAACTTAACTGTCTTGAGAGTATGACAAGAGTTGGCTCAGTCATGCCGAGTTTGCAATCTGCCCACTTCAGGCTCGGCCGAGGCGAACATTAGCGGCTGATTTGCGCGCTCCCCGAGTCTTGGGCGGCACCTGATGCAGATTCAGGCCTGCATTTAATTTTTGTAGGTACCTGGCCAACTTTATAGCATGGACCGCCAGGCTGGTCTCCTCGACTGTATTGCCTGTCGTTGCGGGCCGCCATTCCCCGCCACCACGCCCCGCCGCTATGCCCACCGCGGCCTCTCACACCTGCCCTTATCTGCGCCGCCTTATCGCTGCGATCCCGCGTGTGTGTGCTGTGCTGTATGTGTGTGCTGTGTGTCCTGTGTATGGAGTGTGTGTGTTGTATGTGTGTGCTGTGTGTCCTGTGTATGGAGTGTGTGTATGTCTTCGCGTGTGTGTGTATACCGTGTGTATTTTATTGTGTATTTATTATTTTATATTTTTTCGTGTTGATTTTTTAGCAAAAACACCACACAAAACCAATAAATAATTGACTAAAAATAAATAAGAACATATCGCGAGCGTTATCAGCCAGTATAGCTCATGACGGTTGTACACACCAGCAGCCGGATACGGCCCGCTGTACGGCAACACCGCCATTGTTCTCATGTACAGTCTTGCCATGAGTGCATTCACCCCACGCACGTCACCCCATCCCCCACCCTACTTTAATTAACTCATTTCACTCATCACTTTAATTAGCGCTAATTGCTTCAATACTTTGTTGTGTCTTTCCTCTCCCTCCCTTCCAGCTTGTTCCCCTTTCCGCCTTTTCCTCCCTTACACCTCGATTCTGGTGGGATATAGTATATGGTTCGAGTGCTATATAGTATATGGTTCGAGTGGGATATAGTGTATGGTTTGGGTGGGATATAGTATATGGTTCGGGTGGGATATAGTGTATGGATCGGGTGGGATATAGTGTATGGTTCGGGTGGGATATAGTGTATGGTTTGGGTGGGATATAGTATATGGTTCGGGTGGGATATAGTAAAGATCCCGGACTGTCCAGTAATGGGAAACTACCATCAGCAAGTGACAAGCAACAGCATCTTGCATCAGCGTGCCCAAATGAGGGCTATAATAGACGGAACACGTCCAACGTTACATCCGACGACGACTCGGAGGACGACGAAGGCGGCGCATCAGCGTGACCTGGGACTAGGAAGTCCCGAACTCATCGTAAGGTCTTATAGTGTATGGTTCGGGTGGGATATAGTATATGGTGCCATTCACTATCTTAGTGTTGGATTTTACTGAGACTATAACGCGTCGCTCTAACGTGGTCTGGGACTGCTACCTCCGAAACATGTTTCAAATTTATCAACGTTACGGTACTTAGCGACCGTGTCCACTATACCCCATTGTTAATACAAACTATATACTACGTATAGTTTGTGCATACTATATAATTCATAACTCAAACTGCGGAACATTTACTAAAAGTAAATTGACTTTGTATTTTCATTTCATATTTTAAATTTTTTACACGTAAATTGATCGAAAACGCATTTCAGTGTAGGATTTGGACAGCCCTAAATCTGCGGTCCATTAAAAACCTAAAGAACAGGAAGTGTTCAAATGACAACAATCCCCAATTACGCAATCATGCACCCAATTAACAAGTGACCAATAGCAGCGCGTAATTGAATCGTAATTGGACATCATATTACGATTACCATAATTGTTGTTTTGTGATGAAACTTCGGTTACAGGTCATCTCTAATTCCAGGTTAAAAAAAGCAGGTTATTACATCTGATCTATTCCACAGGTGTCGGTTAATTGGTGCCTTTTGAATTGGCGCCGGGGCTAACTGCCATTTCCGGGTCACTTGACACACTTATTTGTACAGCAGTTGTAGCGCTGCAGTGCAGCAGTTGTAGCGCTGCAGTGCAGCAGTTGTAGCGCTGCAGTGCAGCAGTTGTAGCGCTGCAGTGCAGCAGTTGTAGCGCTGCAGTGCAGCAGTTGTAGCGCTGCAGTGCAGCAGTTGTAGCGCTGCAGTGCAGCAGTTGTAGCGCTGCAGTGCAGCAGTTGTAGCGCTGCAGTGCAGCAGTTGTAGCGCTGCAGTGCAGCAGTTGTAGCGCTGCAGTGCAGCAGTTGTAGCGCTGCAGTGCAGCAGTTGTAGCGCTGCAGTGCAGCAGTTGTAGCGCTGCAGTGCAGCAGTTGTAGCGCTGCAGTGCAGCAGTTGTAGCGCTGCAGTGCAGCAGTTGTAGCGCTGCAGTGCAGCAGTTGTAGCGCTGCAGTGCAGCAGTTGTAGCGCTGCAGTGCAGCAGTTGTAGCGCTGCAGTGCAGCAGTTGTAGCGCTGCAGTGCAGCAGTTGTAGCGCTGCAGTGCAGCAGTTGTAGCGCTGCAGTGCAGCAGTTGTAGCGCTGCAGTGCAGCAGTTGTAGCGCTGCAGTGCAGCAGTTGTAGCGCTGCAGTGCAGCAGTTGTAGCGCTGCAGGGCAGCAGTTGTAGCGCTGCAGTGCTGCAGTTGTAGCGCTGCAGTTAACGAAACGTCTGTTTTCATGCTGATTTAAAGCTTAACTATTGTCATTAACATCTTGATTATTAATCAGTCGCATTATTAATATGATTAATGAAACAAAGACTTCATACAGTTGCTATATATGATACACCTAAACTAGTCGCCCGCTTATTTCAAATAAAAATCAATACGAATGACGGAGGCAAGAAAAAACTTATCTGTAGCTACGACACACCTGCCAGCCAGCCAGCCAGCCAGCCAGCCAGCCAACCAGCCATTCCAACTGGCTGCACCTCCCAGCCAGCTGTAACGGCTTTGGCCGGCCTCTGCCAGCCAGTTAACGGCTTTGGCCAGCCTCTGCCAGCCATTAACGGCTTTGGCCAGCCCATGCCAGCCAGTTAACGGCTTTGGCCAACATCTGCCAGCCAGTTAATGGCTTTGGCCAGCCCATGCCAGCCAGTTAACGGCTTTGGCCGGCCTCTGCCAGCCAGTTAACGGCTTTGGCCAGCCCATACCAGCCAGTTAACGGCTTTGGCCAGCCCATGCCAGCCAGTTAACGGCTTTGGCCGGCCTCTGCCAGCCAGTTAACGGCTTTGGCCACCCTCTGCCAGCCAGTTAACGGCTTTGGCCGGCCTCTGCCAGCCAGTTAACGGCTTTGGCCAGCCCATACCAGCCAGTTAACGGCTATGGCCAGCCTCTGCCAGCCAGTTAACGGCTTTGGCCAGCCTCTGCCAGCCAGTTAACGGCTTTGGCCAGCATCTGCCAGCCAGTTAACGGCTTTGGCCAGCCTCTGCCAGACAGCCAACGTCTTTTTTTTAATTAAATGAATTCTCACTTAATATGCTTCCGTTTAAATTGAATTCTCACTTAGTTGCTTCCGTTTGTTGCTTGTCCCTTGCTGGTAATAGCCATATTGATGTCACAGGCCTTTCTAATCCTTTGTTTCTGTAGTTTTTCCATTTTTCCTCTGTCCCTGGTGGTGGATGGCTTTGTCCTATGGACGTTGATGGCTTTGTCCGCCAGACTCTTTGTTTACAACCGCATGGCTGGCCCCGCCCCTCAGCCACTTGCGTGACCCGCACCCCAGCGTCGCTCAGTCGCGCCGCGGCGCTCGCAGGGGTAGGATGTGCGCGCTCCGTCCCCGCGCCGCTCCCAAGTTATCTTATTTCAGTGCTGTGCGAATACTTCGTTGAATTCATGAAACTATACGTTACTTCTACGTCGTATCCTGGTACGTAATATATCAATGTTATACTGTTAATTTGTTATATAATGTGTTTTTTAGGTTTGTTTTCGCGATAGTATATGTATATTATAAGTTATAGAGCATCGAGTATTGCGTCATTTTTTCGTTGTGTTCACGTTATACTTTTTCGTCTATAACAACATTTCTGTAGCTGCGAGTTCATATGCTTACGTTCGCTTGCAAATATTTTTAAACGGTTATTTTATTTCTAAGATATTTATGAGTCAATTCCTGCGACAATTTAATTCATTTAAATCTGTATTTCTTACGGCTTGTGCGTTTAAATGTTCCACGTTGAAATTCCTAGAACATCGTAAAAGTTTGATTTATTTTGTGCTAGAAATGTTAGCTAAATTTACTTGATTTTGTGTAATTCACTAAGTAATTATTCTTTTATTACATAGGTTTTAAATATTATATGTTATATTATTAACATTTTTTATTTTTTTATTCTACATTAAATTATATATTTTTTGTAAAGATCTACTCGTACGAAAAATGAAATAATTATTTTCGTGTACAGTCGAGAATCAACTTGAACAGAACAGAACTTGGCAAATTTTGTGCGAGGTTGAAAAGTTGAAAAAAATCCACGGGTATTTCAACCCAATTTCCAGCGACTGATAGAAAATTATATCCGCGGAGCCCGTGACTAATCGCGATTAGCGGTTATAACCGCGATTAGCGGTTATAACCGAGATTAGCGGTTATAACCGCGATTAGGTTATAACCGAGATTAGCGGTTATAACCGCGATTAGCGGTTATAACCGCGATTAGCGGTTATAACCGAGATTAGCGGTTATAACCGCGATTAGGTTATAACCGCGATTAGCGGTTATAATCGAGATTAGCGGTTATAGGCGCGATTAGCGGTTATAATCGCGATTAGCGGTTATAATCGCGATTAGCGGTTATA